ATGGCTTTTCCTCAAGACTCAAAAGAAAGCCCCCATCTCGATTCATTCAAAACATCGTCTACCCAAAATCACATGCCAAATAGTGCAGAACCCTGACTCACATCCCCTGTTCTGCAATGACACTACCCCTAACACAGTTCCTATTTCGGGGGAGGGTGGGGAACGCCCAAAGCAACCATGTCCGACGCCTCAGTGGATAGAGACTCAGCACCTGAATTCATGGCGCTTACGGGCGGGGCGTTTGACTACACTCCCCCGAACAAACATGGAAGCGGGCAGTGGTCTTTGCGGCTTTCTTCGGGGAGTGGAAATGCCCTGATTCTGGGGCTTCACTATCAGGGTGTATGAGACCCAGACCCTCTTCTTGGCAGGCTCTGTTTATTGCCTGTGTATAGCCAGTGTTGACCGAACTTGCCCCAACCACAGGCTTGGACCCAAGTTGGCAGAAGGGCCATAGCAGAACCACAAGAAATATCATGAATTCTGCCGGCCTCTGTATGAGAAGCCTTGGCATAGAGTTGAATGCCATGGAGTTGGGAACTAGGCGTTTGGAAGTTGTGCGTCCTCTTAAAGGCATTTGGGACGGACATGGAATGTGGTCTAGTGGCTTAGGCTTGGAACGTGGTCAAAACAAGCCATAAGAATGCAGTGTTGTTTAAATCGTCTCCCGCCTGTAGACAAGTACTCCACTTCCGGGAGTGCAGGTTGCTCCACCTTCCCTCGAGCCAGAATTTGCAAACCCCCGTGGGGATTTCTCAAAATAATCCCTACATAATCCCTAATGTGGCCCCATACTCTTCTTATGACCCTTATTATATCTAAGGCTTCCTGTTTGAGAAATACCCAAATTCTAATGTAGACCCATAATTAATAAACTCCCTCCCCTTAATAGGGATTATAAAAGGGATCCTAAGATTTCGGCCCTTAAAAAGGCTCTTCAAAGGAGGGGGTTTATAAATCGTGGGTCTACATTATCATATCCTTAAATCCCTTTCTTTCCCAGTTTCCATGTCATTTTCAAATTTCTTGTTCATTTGATTCTCAGTTATAGGAACCCAGAAGTCCCTGTTCCCTAAATTGAAATGCCCTAAACCCTAAACCCTAGTAGTTGGTGCGCGGTGTATACCAGCCCGTGGTACGGAATGAGGATAGA